CTATCCACATCCAAAGAAAGAACTATGGAATTTGAATGCAGATCAAAGCATACTATTTGCTATTTTTTTTTCTTCTGTTGAGTTTTGTTTCCTCTTTCTGATGGTTCCTCCTATTGGTTCTAATTCTTACTTATAACATCACTAATATGAAAATATGTTTAATAGGAATGTATATGTATAGCCTATATCAGATTGTGCGGCAGTCTTGGGGAGGGTGATGGGGAGGAAGGGGGAGAAAAATTTTAAACTCAAAAGAATATGGAAGTGATTGTTGATAAATCAAAATAAATTAATTTTAAAAAATTATGTTCCATTGATATATTTTATTTTTATAGTACAAACATTTACAGATTATCCCCACTCATTTCTAGAATGGCTTTGGGCACCAGCGGGCCTGAGGAAAGGCTTTGTTTTGGGTGCAAGGAGGGACATGATGACACAAGACACTGGAGGAGAGGCTGGAAGCCACACAGATGAGGGACCATGAGATCCTAGATTTAGGGTTGGAAGAGAGCTCAGAGATCATCTCATTCAGCTCCCTCAGACAAGGAAATCGAGGCCTCAAAAGATTAAGTGATTTGCCCCAGGTCCACAGCACAGCTGGTATTTTAGCCCAGGTCTCTGACTCTATATCCAGCATCATTTTCAATACAGCACAACGCCTCACGGGGAATGGGTACAGATCTAGAGACCCCGAACACAAATTCCAGGGACCTCACAGGAATTCAGAGTAACAAGGAGCCCTATTTTCAGAATCATCAATCTAATACATTCATTTTATAGATAAAGAAAAGGAAGCCCAAAGGATTGCACAGTTTCATCAATGTAGAGCTGGAAGTGACCTTAGAGTCCATTAAAGTCAGTCTCCTCATTTTACAGACCAGAGAACCGAGGCATTTAGAGATTAAATGACTTGCCTAGGGTCACACAGCTAGTAAGGGTCTAAAGTGGAATATGAACCCAAGTATTCCTGCATCCAAGTCCAAGTTCCTAACTACTATTTCCCTAGATCACATAGGTAAATGGTAAGTAATAGAACCAAGATCTGGGGGCAGCTAGGTGGTGCAGTGGATAGAGCACCGGCCCTGGAATCAGGAGGACCTGAGTTCAAATCCAGCCTCAGACCACACACTTGACACATACTAGCTGTGTGACCTTGGGCAAGTCACTTAACCCCGATTGCCTCACACACACACAAAAAAAAAAAGAACCAAGATCTGAACCCAAAGTCTTTTGATTCCAAATTCAATGTGCTCTTTCTGCCATAAACAACCCAGAATTTTGTAGAGGGAGGCTAAAGACAAACCGATATGAAATACCGATTACTGCTCCAGTCTTTACCCATACTACACTTCTCCCCTCCATGTACACACATCCTAATATATTACATACAACCAAACAGTGACCCCCACCAAAAGCATCGTATTTAATCATCAGAAATGATGAGAACATAAACTTAACTTGGAAAAACCAAAGAGGAAGAAAAATTCCCTCTAAAGAGGAAAGCCGAGTTTCCAAAAGGGAGTCAGTTACCCATGAAGCCATTCGAGCAGCTAAGGGATGGAGAAGAAGGGCCAATGTGAAGCACTTCCCATGTTGGCACCCTCCGCCCTGCCCACAGCAGATGGAGGAGAAAATGTGGCAGTCAGGTCTCCGGGGCCCTGGGGCAGGGAGGGAGTGGGAGGGTTGGGTCTGAGTTGTCTCTCAGGACTTCCTTACAGGGTCTCCAAGACACCCTTAATGAAGGGTCATGGGTAGTTACTATAGAGACCAGAACTTCCAAGGAAAAACTTTCAAGCCCATGCAGCTGCTGCTGCCATCAGCTTCGCCCCAGGATTTGTCTTCTGGCATCTGAACAGACAGGGAAGGGGGAATTTATGCCACAGGAAACGGCTGTGGTTTATGTTACACTGAGACAGCTATGTAGCACAGAAGATAGAACCAAGTTCAAAAGCAGCCGCAGATACTTACCAGCTGTGAGACTCTGGGCAAGTCACCTAACCACTGTCTGCCTCAGCTTCCTTATCTGTAAAATGGGGATCATAATGACACCTACCTCCCAGGGTTGTTGTGAGGATCAAATGAGATAAAGTTTTAGAAACTTTAAAGCCCTATACAAAGGCTAGCTATTTTTATTACTATTACTATAAAACTCAAAGTTAACGGACCCTTTCCCCAAGAACAGGAACTCTAAGACCAGAGAGACAAAGAAGAGCGCCATCTAACATAAAAGTCCTGGGGCTGAGGGTCAAGAGACCTGGGTTTTAGGCTTGGATCTTCTACTAACTGAGGCAAGTGAATGACTGAACCTCCTGGGCCTCGGTTTTCTCATCTGTAAAATGGTGGATCACAGCTGTAGAGCTAAAGGGACCTTAGAGGTTATGTAATTCAATCCCTCCATTTTACAAATAAGGAAATAGAAGCCCAAGTAGACTTGCCTAAGGTCATACAGGTAGTAATTGTCCAAGGTGGAATTTGAACTCAGGTCCTTTGTTTCTAGGGGGTAGAGTAGATGGAAATACACTCACAGGGTTATTGTGAGGACAATAGATGTGAAAGCCCTTCTGAAAGTGCTACTGAAATATAATGGTTATTATTTTCAGAAGCTTGCTGAGTTTCTTTTTCTGCTCCTCTGGTCTTAGTCTAACCCAGATCTCTCCCATGGTGAAAGATCACGGTGCCCCAGATGGAGTCAGTTTAGAGATGGTCAAGTCACCCTTCAGTGCAGCTACCTGCAGGCAGGCCCCTGGGTCAGTGCGACCTTTTCCCTTTGCCATCTGGCTGGTCCCACTGCTTAACCTGGAGGATTGGGAGGCTTCCAAAGACCAGCCAATCTGCATGTGTTGAGTGCTCCAGCAGGGGCCCAACCAGTCACTACACCCAGCAGGCCTAATCGCCACTGAACAGATGGGGAGACTGACACAGAGAGAAAGAGGGGAGGGGGACCAGCTGGCATCACCAAGCATCAGCACAGGAACAAACAAGCACAGAGCAGGAAGCCCACCCTCCAACTGTTTTTATTCATGGGATGGGTGGCAGCTCACCTAGAAAGAAGGGCATTTTCAACATCATCTTGTGGTCAATGAACAAGTCTTAGTGAATTTCCAGATTTTGATCAGTCTGGTTTTTGGTTATGGGAGAGTTCTTGCCCTCATGGAGCTAATATTCTAACTAGGAAGGCAAAATATGTTTAAACAAAACCATCAGAAGCCCTGCTAGCTGAGTGGTATTGACTTTCAGTATAATATCAGATGGGGAAGATAAATATGGGCTGCTATAGTCAGAAACACTTCACAGAAGAGGTAGTACTACATGCTGGGCCTTGAAGGATGGACAAGATTTTCCTAAGTTGAGAGAAGGATTCCAGCTAAAGGGACAGTACAAGTGAGAAGGAACATGGCATGTTATTGGGACAATGAGGAGGCTGGACCACCTAGTTAATACAAGGGACTCATTAATAATAATAACGATATATGTGTTTGTGTGTGTGTATGTATATCATGGTTTGTCCTTCATTCTTGAAGAGGACCATGACATCAGGAAGATGATGCCATGACTTGCAAGTGAATTAGATATAAGTAAGTGAGGGCTGTGCAAAGTCATCAGCCTCACTGTCTCCTCCAGAGCCATCTGGATCCAGTGGCCAGACACAGATCAGGACAACTGGAGGTGGCCCAGGATGCAGTGAGTCATACGTATATGTATATGTGTATATATGCACATGTGTATGCACACACATGTTTATATGTGTGCGTGTGTATGCCTACATATATGATGTATAACTTTAGAGCATGCAATCACTTTATGTGTGTATGTATATGTGTGTATGTATATTTCTATATACCAGTATACAATTACTTTACATATGTCTGTATGTGTGTTTATATTTATTTATTCTAATTTGATTCTCACTACAACCCTGGAGGTAAGTGCTATTACTATCCCCATTTTAAAGATGAGGAAACTGAAGCTGAGAGGTTAAGTGACTTGCAGAACTCGAACCTGGTCTGCTTGACTCCAAGGCCAGAACCATCATGCTGCATGATCTCCAAACAGGATAGAACCTTGGCTGATAGGAACTTTCAATTCTAGTGGCTACCTATCAATATGTCTGTCTCAGACCTAGCTCCTATGAGAAAAGACCAGTTCTAGGGTGAACAATCTGGCAATGGTATGGGACTTGCAGTCAGTAGATCTGGGTTCAAATTCTGACTCTTTTTTATGGAGGGATGAGAAAAAGGCACCTCAGAACGGGGCAAAGGGGCATGGTCAGAAGACACTGGAGATCCCAGAACAAAGCTTTCCACTGTTACAATGAATTTTTGAGGGGCAACAATCCATTCTCTGGACCTCAGTTCCTTCAACTAAGACATGAAGGAGTCTAAGGAGATGAGCTACAAATGCCTCACCCTCTTCCCCTCCTATTGCCTTTCATCTTCTCTATATGGACCCAGTTATTTACAGGTTCCCTCCATTAGAATGTAAGGTCCTTGAGGGCAGAGATTATTTCTCTGTTTGTTTGCATCGCCAGCACTTAGCACAGTGCCTGGCACACAGTGAAGGCTTAAGAAATGTTTCTTGATTAACTGATCTCTAAATTTTCTGATCCAAAGCTTTCCCACCTCAATAGATTCTTAAAGTCTTCCTGTTGGTAATGATAATTATTCATATTTACACATGACTGTATAGTTACAGAGCACTTTCCACACATTATCTTATTTGATTTTTACAACAACTTGGAGGGTGTAGACAGTGTATCTTATTCTCATTGGCAAATGAGGAAACTGAGGCTTAGAGGATTTCACTGATGCCCACATAGGTGGTAAATAGCCTGAACCCAGGCTAATTACCTGGTTCTGTGTCAAGAATTCTCTCTAGATTCTTTCTAATGGTGACATCGACAGACCTAAGTCATCATCTTCATTTAGGGTTGGCCTTCAGTGAAGATGGAAGAGGAAATCAACTCCTTGGTATGACTTGAAGGATGCCAAAAAACCCACCTGGACCAGAAATCAGTCTCCCACTGACTTGGCACAGAGTCTGATAGTCACATCATTAATCACTGCTTTGGGAACCTTCTGGGGACAGGTGCACTTGAACTGGAATCAAGGATTGCCTTGATCTTACCTGGGAAGAGGAACACATTAGCCAATATGATTAGCATCCATAGGCATAATAGCAAGATTGGGGAGATGGGGAAAAGAAGGGAAGTAGGACCCTGGATGAATAAGTTTTGAGTAGGGGGTAGAGGAGAAGCTTCAGACCAGGGAGCATCTCTGGGAGAGGGCGGGTACAGATAAGACTCTATACCAGGAAACCCTGAGCAGCTGAGAGCGGGAGAAAGGTAGAGACTCAGTACTGAGCATTCAATGCTGAAGCTATATATTTCATAATCTTCACCATAGAATCATCCAGCCAGGCTGGCCTTGGCTTTAGGTAGGCTAGGTGGCATAACTTTGTGAACCACGGGGAGGCTCCTTGTTCTTAGTACACTCCAGGAACCTGCTAGCTCATGCCTTATATTTCCTTACCTGGAGATAGAGACTTTCTTTTCATAAATTTTTACCGATACATTTTGCTTTTATATCACCTACATTTCCCAATGTAGACCTCTTCCCTCCGTTTCTGAGAGAGCCATCCCTTAAAATAAAGAAATTTTTAAAAGGGGAAAAAAAAAAAAGGTCACCAAAATTAGTCAACACAACAAAAAAGCCTAATGTTATCTGTACTGTTCCACATACATAGTCCCCCACCTCTGCAGAAAAGGGAGGGTGATACTGTCAGAATTTTCTCTCTTTTTTTTTTTCAGGCCAAGCTTGACCATTCTAATTTCACAGCATTCAGTTTTAATTGTGTTGTTCTTCTTCCAGTTTGCATTGTTGTCATCATTTTGAATATTTTTTCCTGGTTCCACTTAATTTCGCAACACTTCATCTAAGTATTCCTATGCTCCTTATAGGACAGTAATATTGCATCGCATTCATATTTAACTAGTTCCCAGGCCATGAGTATCTACTTTGTTTCCTGTTCTTTGCTAAAACAAAAAGTGCAGCTGTGAATAATCTGTTTGGCATTGACTTCCTTGGGGCATTTGCCTACCAGTGAAATCTATGGGTCAAAGGGTATGGACATTTTTAGTCCCTCTCTTTTGCATTATTCAAAATTACTTTCCAGAAGGGTTGGAACAATTCACAGTGCATTGGTACACCAGTCTTTCCTCCAACACCAACTACTCTCTTTTGTCATCTTTGCTACTTTACAAAGTGCGAAGTGAAACTTCAGGATTGCCTTGATTTTTCCTGTTTTTAGTGGTTTAGAACATTCTTTCATATGTTTGCTAATAGTTTGAAATTCTGCTGCAGAGAACTATTTGTTCATGAGATAGAATTGGCTTTTGTTTGGCTTTGGTTATCTTTTTTAAAATTCCTTGATGAGACATCAGGCTTGCGGGATAAAATGTTCTATCTAACTGGTAAAGAGGGAGCTGGCAATTGACAATCACATTCTGGTATAACTGAGTGATATCAAGAGTCTTTCTTGAGAAGAGATTTTGGCAGAATAGGGCACAGGGGACATACAAGACACTCTGGGAGCCCCAAAACAAACTTTTGCCACTCTCACATTTCTGGTAAGGGCTGACCCTAGGCTCACCTCCTCTCTGAATCTCATGATTTATTGTATGGATTACCAGAAATCTATGATTAGGAAGAAACCAGATCCTCAGTGGGCTGGTACAGTCTGATTATGTAAGGATTAGACCTCTCCAGGCACTCAAACTACTTTGCTGGTCTCCTCTCCTTCTCAGCAATCTCTGCCCAACAACTACCCAACCACATGGAACCTTCTTTGAGTCAATCAAACCCAAAAAACATCAAAAGCAAAATGGAAACCGGGATCCAGAAGCTCCCTGCCTCTGAACAGCTAGGTAAGCCCATAGCTCTACAGAGGCCCAACAAAAGGGGGAGTGGGGGAGAAGTAAAATGGAATCTCCCCTGAGTTTCCTCAGGCTCTATTTCTTGGATCTCTGAGTATGGTGATGGCACAGAGACCTTGGGATTCCGGGAGTGAAAGTGGGAAGGAAGAGGATGGGGGGGGGCGGGAGAGGAGGAGAATCTGGGAGGCCTTGGGAAGTGTGGGTGAGGCTAGGGCAAATTCTGTAGCCAGCAAGTACTTCGAGAAAATGATTCATGAGATAACCAAACATCTCCCTCCGTACCTGATCCTCCCAGGGAGAACCACAGGGTTTAGAGCTGGAAAGGATCTTAGAGATGGGAATCTTAGAGGCTCATTTTACAGAAGAGAAAACTGAGGCGTGAGCGGTAAGAAGAGTTGCTTGAGATCACACAGATAGTAAAAAGCAAAGCCAAGATTTAAACCCAATTCCTCTGACTTCAAATCCACTTTCTTTTTCATTAGATGGGGCTGCCTCTGGTATTCTAGGTAATAACTCTGTTTCATATTATTACATGACTTTATTGGGGTGTGCTGGTGAGTATTTAACAATGAACTTGGAAGAAATTGAAAAATTGAGGGAGAATCACCTCCAGATCCAGACTCTACTTCCAATGAGAGAAAGTTGCAAGATGAAGAGCAGAATTCAAGATTAAGAACTGGAAGAAAAGTTATAAGGGGGAAGGAATGTATGTGCATACACTTTTAAATTTAATCTTCATTATTAACACTTTCTTAAGTCTAGATGATTTAAAAAAAAAAGATAAATCAAACCCTGATTTTTAGCAATTGCTGATTTCTGAAGTGTGAATTCTCACACTGAAAACCTAACAATCAGCCGGGTTAGAGCTGGTTCCAGCACATCCCTGGCATTACTGATACCTTTCAAAGTGCTGGTGTATCCATTCGCTCATTTGATCATTACAACTGCCCTGTGAGTTGAGAAGTATTATCTTTTTCCTGTCTTTGATAACTGACAAATCTAAAGTTGCATAAGGTAGTGCGAGGGCGGGGAGCAGAACACAGACCTCTTGGCACCTGGTTTTCTTCTGCTACGACATAAACAGAGCCATCATAGAAGCTGGGCTCTAGCTTATCACCTGCATTCTATCTCCTGACTACCAATGATCTGAATCTTGTAGCTAGCTCTTGGCAGAAGAGAAAACCCATAGCCAAGCAAACTAGCGCTCCAGAACAACCCATTAGTTCAGTGCTTGGGGTTGGTAGGGGAGGAGGGGCAGAAACAAAATCCCAGAAGGGTGATCTGCATCACCCACTTCATTATATGTAAAGGACACAGACCATGGTAAACATACCCCCCCCCCCCGCAAGTTTGGGGACAGAAAAAGAGAGAGCCTAAAGGATTGCAGTTCTGGGTTGGTGGGCTAGAAGGGCTTCCCTGTCCTTATAGTGATATAAGGGACTAGTCCAAACCCCTCATTTTCCAGGTGAGGAAACAGAATCCCACAGAGCTTAAATGATTTGCTCAAGTTTCTACAGGTAGTGAGTTGCAAAGCCAGGATTTGAACCCAAATCCTCTGACACTGAATTTTTGTGTTTGGTGAATCCAGAATTTCCATTGATCCCAAAGAATCCTAACTCAATCCTTGGTGCTGAGATGACAGAAGTATCTATCATAGATAGGGTCATATAATCTAGAGCCAAAAAGAACCTTAGAAATCATCTCATCGAACTTTCTCATTTTACTGAAGAGGAAAATGAGACCCAGAAGTCTCACACAAAGTCACACAGCACAGAAATTAGAACCAAGGTCTTCTAGTGCTCAGGACCGCAGTGGTTGGCTCACTATTTTCCCCAGTCTTGCCTTTTTTACATTTTTTTTCCTGAGGCCAACTCTTGGCACCAACTGCCATTGAGATTGCCGGCAAAGCTAGTCCTAGGTCACCTCCTACCTCCTCCATCAGGCTGGTTTTCTCTCTCCCATTCCTTTCACCACCCCCTTTCCCGCCTTCTTCTTTCCCTTCTCCCAAGAGATAGCTTTTTTGAGTCTCATTAAAGAGAATCCTGCTTTAGGCCAGCAGGGGTGGGGAACCGGCAGCTTCGAGGCCACCTGTGGCCCTCTAGATCCTCCAGTGTGGTCCTTCGACTGAATCCAAACTGGACTTGTGGACCTAAACAGCCACAGTCGGCCTCGAAGCCGCAGGTTCCCCACCCCTGGGCTAGAGGCTCTTGAGCTGGGGTCTGTGAACTTAACATTTCAGTAAATTTGTGATTTGTTGAGTCGTTTCAGTTGTGTCCGACTCTTCATGACCCCTTTTTGGGTTTTCTTGGGAAAAATACTGGAGTGGTTTGCCATTTCCTTCTACGGCTCATTTTACAGATAAGGAAACTGAGGCAAACAAGGCTAAGCGATTTATCCAGGATCACACAGTAGTTAATATCTGTAACCGAATTTGAACTCTGGTCCTTCTGACACAAGGTTCACTGCTCTATCCACCGCACCACTTTCAATAAAGTTTATTTATACATAATTGGTTTCCTTTGTAATGCTATGTATCTTATTTTATGCATTTGAAAATATTATTCTGTAGAATCCATACAATGGGATTCATGACTCAGAAAAAGGTTAAGAACTCCAGTTTTACTCCAGTTTTTACTTGGCCATAAGTGTTTAAGGCATTTTCCCTCCCAAGGGTATTTGCGTTTTAATCATAGACTCTTCTTAAGAACTTCTGCTCCAATTTATCCCTGAACTGGAATCTCCTTTAGCCGATGCCCGACAACCGGTCATCCAGCCTCTGTTTGAAGACCTCCATGGAAAGGAAACTTGCAACCTCCTGAGGGGGCCCATTCTAATTTTGGACAACTCTGTTAGGAAGCTTTTCCTAACAAGGAAGTGATGCTTTAATATAATAATAACAACAACAAGAAATATTTACATAGCACTTTGGGTTTACAAAGCCCTTTAAAATATCTCATGTGATCTCTTACAATAATCCCGGAAGATATTTGCTATTGTTACTCCCATTTTTCAGATGAAGAAACTGAGGCAGACAGTCGATAGATGACTTGCCCAGGATTTCACAGTTAGTAAGTGTCTGAGGCTGGATTTGAGCTCAGGTCTTCAGGTCCAGCATTCTATCCACTGCACCATATACTTCAGTGTAATGAAAACCACACACAGGTTATGACTTGCCCAGGGTCACACATCCAGT